CTCCCTATTTACTCTTTCATAGATTTGCTTGTGATCAAGATTTGCCACAGATTATCTCACAGTTTGTTTATGGTTTACCATCTTTCTTCCCTGTATTGTTTCTGTAATATATTCTAAATCAGGTTAATGGAGGCTGGTATCTTAAATTTCCTGTTGTTCAATTAGATTTAGCTATAATTATTCTCAAGAGAAGATATGTATGAGATCATGATTCCTCATAGTATCAGAAAAGAAATGAAGTTTTCCTAGGAAGTAATTTTTAAACTTCTTTACTATTTTAAAAATGAACGAAATTGAGCTTTTGGCCAAAAGTAAGTATGTGCCAAATTCTGCTATTGGTGCTGGAAAGTCTCTCCAGAAAGGCAAGTTTTTATCTTTTCAAAAGGCATGTCAGATATGAGAGAATCATTTCTTCTGCCTTTAAGAAGTTTGATGCCTTTGAATTGCACAGTACTTGTCTGGGAACTGTAGCTGGAAAAATAGCAGTAGCTCATGATGGTTTTAGTCTGGTGTTTGTTAACTCCCTAGTGGTGCTCACTTAGTGAATATAACTAAAACAGGAAAGTGGAACAGGCTGTGTGTGGAAAAGTGCCATGAAGTCTTAGTGAACCTGGGTACTTACTGCTTGTTTTCAAATACCATTTTAATTTACACAATAAATGTGAGTTTGGTGGCCTTTAACACTGTCTTATTGTTCTTATTAATGTTTCGGTACAAAAACATGTATGTTACGAAATGTGATTTTTAATCTTTTAGTCTCAGCCTGAGATCTTGGGATAACACAGTAAGGTCCAAAAGAGCCTGTCTTGCAATTTTGCTCACTCTCCCTGACTTCAGCCTGTGATATTAATCTTGATTTCTACAAACATTGAATTTTCTGATGTGCCTTTTTTTATTAAAAAGTAACATGTATTAGTTATTGAAAGTGTTTATTTACAGTCTAGTGCAAACTTTCAATTTTATGTGAGAAGATAAGCAGAAATTGCACATCAACTCTATCTCTGACCCTACCAAACACTAGTTTTCTGCAATCTGGAAAGCCTAAGTGGTAAATTATGTCTTAGATTTTCTCTGTTGGAACGTACTGATGGGACAATGAGGAGTGATGTTTTTTCTGTCATGATCTTTTTCAGTTGCGTGAAGAGTTTGACCGAGGCATAGATGTTGTGTTAGACGAAGAGCACAGCATTCATGATGTTGCTGCTTTATTAAAGGAATTTCTACGTGACATGCCTGACCCACTTCTCACCAGAGAACTTTATACACCTTTCATCAACACTCTCTGTGAGCTTTGCAGCATCTTGATTTACTGGTTTTCAAAAGCTTACCTCTCTGAATTCTGTAATCTCCACCATCCATATTAGGTTTTCTGTACATTTAGTTCACTATCGTTGTTTTGTTCCAAATGTTGGTATATTATAATTTGTTAAGGTCTTTGCTTGGATTTCATGCTGTGTAAGGGTAACTAGAAAACAAAAAAGATTTCACTTACATCTGTTGATACATGTTTTTATATTTGTAGATAGGATGTGACTCATGATTTATTAAACCCTGATCCTGTCATTGATTCTTCAGTAGCAGATGGCAGAATGCCACTTGAATTCTGTTACCTTTTAGCGTTGTGTAGTTGTTCACTGGCCAAATTTTCAGTCTGGTGTCAAAAATCTAGTTTCCAAAATTCAAGTTTCATCATAATTAATGGTCCTCAGAGCCTTCATATTACATACTCGCAAACCTGTTGGCTCGTGCTAACAGTTGGTTGCAGACTTCCACAAATCTGTGAGAAAATAGACTTGGACATGTCAAGATTAAGCTGCAGCTTGGTATGTGCTCTTCAGATTCTTTTGAAGCCTTATGTGTGAGTGATCCTGGATTTGTCCCACCTTTTCTTGTGGCTACCATTGCATTTTAGATGGTTAAAGTGATGGTGTTGAAGAGACTACAGAAAGTGTAGAATTTCCTTGGTCTTTGTAGTTGCTTTTCCTGTTTCCCAGTCCCACTGTAAGACATGAAACAGTAAGAAAGCCAATTTTACATTGCTAAAGCAAAAACGACTGAAATGCTTTCAAATTGTGTCCTGTATAACACAGTAGCTGTAGAAAATCAAACCAAATTTTTGTGTTCAGTGACAGTGATGGAGTGGGGAACATGGATTTTCAGCTCCCCTATATATTGGGAAAAGCTCATGTGAATCTGTGAGCAAAAATCTGACAAATTAAAACAAAAAAAAAATCCCTAGAAATATTTGTTTTGTTTTTGACATTTTCTTAAAATTTTCTTTCTACTGACATTATAAAGAAAATGATCCACAAAGAGATCTATTCTTATGCCTTCCTTTGGGCTGGAAACAGTGTGTTTGTTCTGCTTTTAGGCTAGTTGGAGCGCTTTTCTTAGAATATATTTTTTCCCTCTTAGTATTAGAGCCAGATGAACAGCTAAGCACCTTACAGCTTCTCATTTATCTCCTACCTCCCTGTAACTGCGATACCCTACACCGACTGCTGCAGTTCCTCTCCACAGTGGCAGGCCACGCAGAAGATACCACAGACAAAGATGGCCAAGAGGTAAGTCCAGGTTTCTTGCGTCCTTTGACATTGCTTAGTTAGAAATCTAGAGAGAGTTCTTTACTCTTGAAAGATGGGAGAGATTTAATATTCTTGCTCACATATTTGCCAGTTCGTTGTTTACTACACTGTGTTCTTAGGGCTGTGTGATTTTAGTTTTCGTATGATTTAATCAGTAAGGCATCCATCACTTCCTTTGGGAGATTCATAGCCTCATAGACTTTGTTGTTAAGAGTGTCTAATGTTATCCACTTTTTTTAAAATATTTTACCCTATTGTATTCTATTGAAAAAATATTCTCATACAGAGTGTCAGACATTCAAGGGTATGCTTTTTCATTCTCTGCTATTCCTTTCTTTTTATGACTTTTTGTGATCATTGATTCATTTCACTCTTTCTTTGGTTTCCCTCTGTGCACTGGGAAATGAGGGAAAAAAGTAAGAGAGAGGAGCTCCATCTCTCCCCTTTCCACCCAGTAGACTTAGTAGCTAGAAGGACTTAGGTCCCTCATTGCCTGGTTTCCTTCTGGCCTCCTAATTCTTGCTTTTTGGACCAAATTCCGCAGAGAGGTCAAAGTACACCCATCCCAAGGAGAGAAGAATATCCATAACTATTTGGTTCAAGAGTAGACCTGGGCATTGAGACTTGCGCATTTGAGCCACTCACACCAAGGAGATCTGAAAATCCAGGCTTCTCATTTCCTGCTAGGAAAATGCTTTAACCAGTGGGCTGCTCTGCAGAAGGTAGCAGCTGTAATATTTCTCAAAGAGATGGATACAATCTATCCCTGCTTGACAAAATTGTAGTGGTTTATCTCTGTGAGGGGCCTCTATATCCTCTGAACTGCAACAAAGGCTAAGGTATTTGAGTCACTTACCTGAGCAGATTACTTCTGAGATGCTGTCCAAACTCCTAGAGAATGTTGTCTTCCAAATGGAGAACCCCGATGACTTCTCTCAATCTTGCAAAACTTTATGACTTAGTTATGATTTAAGAGTAGGCACTTTGAGATTGAATTTTGCCCAATTTCTGCCTGAAGTCCTAACTTTCAAATATGCTGGGTATGACTTGAAGACCTTTTCCATTTTAAAATCCACTTTTCAATACTATGAAATGCATTCACAGCAAGAGGTAGAAAAGTACACCACTCTAATGGAAGACATTTAAGAGCAGTCTGTAGTATTATTACTGTGCTAAAAATGTTGCATGTCTATGAGAGCTAAGGTCTTGGTCCCACTGATCCAGCAAAGATTTCCCTGTCACTTCAGGAATGTGCCCAAGAGGATCTTATTGCAAGGCTAGGGGCTGATGCTACTTAGGAGAGTTGGTTTGGCCCATCATCTGTGCCCATTTTCACTCCCCTTTACGCTACATCAGCTCTGCTGCAGGTATTTTGGCAATGCAAATCTGTGTAAGCCTTCTTGGCAGTACTGTAGACATAAGGAATATTATGTGCATTTGGATATCTTTTATAGATAATACAGTATTCTGCTTGCAATTATTTAAGCTATTTGTTAATGACTAAGTAAGTAAAGGCATAAGGGCAAAGGAAAGTATTTTATTGGACTGTTTGCTATCACTGGAAGAAAAGCAGACAAGCTTTGGCACACAGGCCCTTCTTCCAAGAGCCCTTTTCTCACCACACGATGAAGATGGATGACCAACGATTAAAGTGACTCATTCGGCTAATTTCAGTGGATGTGTTTACACCATTTTTTAAGGGATGCCCCGAGGCTGCCCTTAAGAGGAGACTCGCTGTTGGTGCAGACCTTCGCGGATACAGATCCAGGCACAGCCAGAGGCTGCCCCTGGCAGGCTCCTGGCTCCCCGGGCCTACGCATCCATGGTGGCTTGGGACACTGGCCTTGTTCCCGTTAAAGCCGGATGCTGGTGGTGCATGAGCAAGGGAGAGTGACGTGCTCCCAGCCGCACGGTGAGGAATCTCTCGGCTGAGAGCTGGCACGTTTGTTTTGACAACTCGCTTAGTGCAGGTATCTTTCCAAGACTATGTCACGGACCCACCGATTTAAAACAAAAAACAACGAACTGATTTTACCAATGTCTCTGTACAGTGTAGTTCATGTCTGCAAAAAATAAATGAATTAAATTCAGCCAGCAACAAAAGAATTAAAATATTGCTTGAAGAGATTGATTTTGAGCTAGTCATTTGTTGATGTGCTGTTTTCCTACCTCTTTTATTTTGTACTTTTTATTTTGTACTGTTTTTTTTAGTTAGTTAATTAGTTCAAATGTAACTGAAACAAGTGAAAAATGCTTGTAGTTTTTTTTTTTTTTCTTTAAAAGACTGCAAGAAGTATTGTCAACAGCTGAAATTCACTCGGAGTCTTATATAGTCAAACTGCTGGCAACTTCTTCTGCATTCCCAGAATAGCAACCAAGTAGAGACGCAGAGAGGAACCATGTGACCCTTGCTTTTTGCCATGTTAAAAGAGTAGCAGAAGAGCAAAAAAGAAATATTATCATGACAAATTTGACAATGAAAATTTTGATTTAAAATATGTTGTACTACCTATTTTTCAGATCATGTCTGTCTAGTTTAATATTTGTACCAGCCTTCTCACTCCTCCCAAGTCGTTGCTTCTTTGAGTGCAGAGTTGTAAAAGGAGAGGAAAGTAAAATAAATAAATAAACAAATAAAAACCCAACCAAACATTTGTCATGTTCTGGGAAACAAACAAAAAAACCTAAGAAAATACTAACGAAAATAACGTGTGTAAATAAACAAATAAAAACCCAACCAAAAATTTGTCATGTTCTGGGAAATAAAAAAAATCTAAGAAAATACTAATGAAAATAACGTGTATTCCTCAATTATCAAACTGTTTAACTTCTCAAAGGGAGAAAATTGTGCTTTGCATTGCTGTATTTGTAATCATCAGTATTATTTAAAAAAGATAGCGCTTTTCAGTATTTGGTCTTAAGAGGCAGCAATGAGTTGGCATAGTGAACTAGGAAGGGCATTTCCTGAATGCCCTTCACTTCGGGTGAAGTATGTGACTGCTGCAGTTCAGGGGACTAAGAGCAGGGAGCGTTTTCACCCTCTGCTATTCTGGTCCATTTGTAAATGTCTGTAGAAAATTCATGATGCTTATTGTAGAGATGTACAAAGTGTTCCAACATTTATAAAAGTTGCTCATTTTCTGTTTGACCCAACACATATTTCTGTTTTTTGTGAATGAACCATCTGCCAGATATTCTCCTTGTGTGTATATACATCTGTATACATCTGTATACATCAGACGCGCTCATTTAAACTACTCTCTTTTCTAGATTACTGGGAACAAAATGACATCTCTCAACCTGGCTACTATCTTTGGCCCTAACCTACTGCACAAGCAGAAATCTACAGACAAGGAATTCACAGTTCAGAGTTCAGCTAGAGCTGAAGAGAGTACTGCTATCATAGCTGTTGTACAAAAGATGATTGAGAACTCTGAAGCCCTTTTCATGGTAGGTGGATGCTTCTTCATGTTATCTCCTATGTTTTTCAGACTTAAAATGAGGAAATACGTAGCTATTACTAAAATAGTGTGATGAAAAACTGTGTTTAACTATGTTAAATGTGTGGTGATTAGGGTTAGTAAGCAAGCAAAATACCCTTATATCAAGCAGAATGCTTTGCAGGAAGGAATAATATCAAAAACAGATACTTGCATCTTGACCAGAATGAATTGTGTACTCAACCAGCCTTGCTTAGTTAGCTTCAAAGAAAATACTGAAAATGCTCTTTCACTTCTCAGTTTCAGAAGCTAGGAGAGCTCAGGGCAATAAGATATTTAGTTAATGTAAGGAGTGGGGCCTTAGTCAGTGACTTTCTTGTTGGTTGCATGAGGAGAAAAATCAAAGCTCTCTTATTTGTGGGTGCACAGGGAGAGTAAAGAGTGAACCCATGTAGTTCCTGGGTTCTGTTCTCAGGCTGAAGGGAGAAAGCTCTTCGTATAAGGGGAGATGACTTTGAACCTGGGTGTGTTTTTTCCACATAATTTCTATGTGCTATTGCCTGATGCTGATGAAGACGCAGCTTAGTTGAACCTGGTGCCCTATCTTTTATGACCTTATCTATGGCATTGTCTATAAAATTATTAGTAATCTGTGCCTGAAGCAGAAAGTGCCTTCTTCTGAAGTAGCAAAGGCTAATCAGACTTAGTGGTGGGTACCATCTTGTCTTTCTTTAGTAGACATAAATTTTAACAAAAACTTAGGTCTTCAAGTTAGATAGTTTGGTTTGTTGCATCTTGTAACTAAACAGCACTGGATGTCATATGAACGTGATCAGTTCCCAAAGCCAGAGGAAAAATGAAGACTGCTCTGAGCTGCTCTACTTTGGTGCTGTAGCAAAACCTGGTACTAGAAAATCAGGAGCAGCAAATAGACAAGTGTAGACTGTGGGCATTTAGGATTGGCAGATATTGTTGTGTAAGGACAAAGTGCCTCCCAGATTTCAGAAGGGAAAAGAAAGCTGTCCTAAGCCCTGTCTGTTGAGCCTGATTTTAGCCTCAGATGAACTTTGTGGTTTTCTTGTCTTTTCCTTCACACTGTATTCTCTTTCATTATATCCTTTGCCTTATTTTCATTCTTTTTCCAGAGAGATACTCAGAAATCTTTTTTTTTTTTTTCTTTTTAATCCTTCTCACAGTTTGGAAAAAAATAGGTGCTATTATTCCTTCCACAGCAAGAAAAAAAAAGTAACATAGTTTTTTTGTTTGTGTGAATTTCTAAGAAGTGTATGGCTAGCATTGATAGCTTTTTTACAGCAAGTTTAAAATAATACTTTATTAAGAATATATGAAGTATTCTTTTTTTTAATTTCTCTTTACAAACATTTTCTAGAGCAGCCTCATCTCAGCACATATGCTTATAGGCACACATGAAGACTTTCAGAAAGGATGGGTCTTAGGATTAGACTTACCTACATATGGACTCTTAATTGTGACAAATTGATCCCTCTACCTCTTCAGTGCTTGGATTATTATCTGAAGTTTGCATATAGTGGGGGAGAGATAGAAGAAGTTTTATTCTGTTTTCTGGAGTAGCTTCTTCAGAGTGCTGAGATGATAGGCTAAAATCTTTGGACATAGATTTCAATGCAAGTGACTAGCCGCATGTGAGAGAAAGGCAAACCTAACTAACTCAGATGTTCTCCAGAGAGCTGGAATACACTGAAGCGCAGTGTATGTCCAACAGTTGAGCATCTCTGGGTACTTTGGCTCTTCTCAATGCCATAATTTTGAAAAACAGCTTAGCAAAGCCTGCCTTCTGGATTGATGTCCAGACTCAGCCACGATGCTTGATATGTATGATGGTGTAAAGTTGCTTCTAGTTAATGCTTCATAAAGCTTCTATCAGTGTATACTTTCAACTTTAGTGTTTTGTTAAGCAGCAAAGGGAGACTTCATATTCTGAAGACAATTCCTTTGATGATTTATGCATTGATAGGAAAAGATTTGTACATTTGCTTGTAATAAAAGTAATCATGTGAAATCAGGCAGCAGTAAGTTGTTTCCAAAACCCAAAAGAGTGGGGCCAAGCCAGGACCGCTGTTTATACTTGAAGTTTGTACTACTTACAAAAAGAGAAACATCTGGACTGGAGCATTCAGCTGCAGCTATAACCTACGATATATTATTTGTTTGTTTTGTTTTCTGTTATTTATGTGTTGGAGGAAAGTTATAAAACTTTGACAGACTTCAGCAAGGAAACTGGGGCCACATTTTTTTGTGAAATAAAACTTTGGAAATTGGGAAGTATTATATAGCCTAGCCCACAGACATCAGAACAATTCTGATTTATTGGTGGGTCAGAAAGGTGGTGTTTGTCAGAAGAACCCAGATTAGCAGGGGCTGTTTATATTTGTAAAATGAATTTAAGCAATTCTCATTAACATCAGCGATACGTAAACATGTGGATTTAGCAGAGCAAATGGATTCCTGTCTTGCTTCATTGCTGTTCAGGACTTCCCTCTCCAATTCCTATGAATTACAGTGAGTATTAGGGATGCATAAAAATGCTGTGCGGGAATGCACAAAGGGATATTTATTGCCAGGCTCTAAACTAAGAGCCAAGCAGTTTATAGAGAGAGGCAGAACTCAGCCACATACATACTTTTTCTCTTTGGCTTGGCCTTGGCATGGAGCATGGAGAGAAAAAGGGCTTATGGTTATACATTCAGCAGCTCAGTCATACACTTACATCTCCCAGCTCCCAAAGGAAGCCCTGTTGCAAGGACACAGCATTATGAACTGCCTTAAATCTCTTACGTTTGTTTGGAAATGGCTCTGGGGGACACCCAATGGGGAGGCCGTTGCAGGCTGCCTTTCTGTCCCACTTGAGTAGCACCAAGGAGGTCGGAGGGGGAGATGGGGAGTCAAGGGTCCCTTGTTTTGTGCCCAGCTGTGAGCCCCCCATAGCACCCACATCTCACGATGCCTTCTCCCCTCCACTCCATACAACTTGGGCCTATCCAGAAGCCTCTGATCAGTCCCAGGATGTTCTTGGCAGCTGCAGCAACTGTTATTTCAGCAGTGCCTTGCTTTCCCTTGTGTCCTTACTCTTCTGTCCATTAAACAAGTTTTCTTCCTTCTATTCAACCACCACTTCCAGGTGAGGGATTATTGAAGCTCTGTAACATCTTCCAGAAATACTCATATAGGAGTTCCCTATAAGTTTAAAATTACAAGTACATTATTTCTACATTTGTAAGTTAGGTAAGTAAGTAAGGAGTAAATTGTCCACAAGAAGAAACTCAAACCCCACCAGCTAGCCACAAGACCATCAATAAGAAGGCAGTTGAGGAATCATAGACTAAAATGGCCCTGTGCATTCAAATAAAAAACCCTGTAACTTGATCTAAGTGTATGCTTTGAGTTCTCAGATGTCCTCAGTGTGCGGAAACTTTTTTTCATATTCATTGCGTATATGTAGAAGAGAGGACCTTTTTAAAATAATGAAAAAATATTTTGCTGAAAAAGTCCATTTAGTATATTCTTACATGTTTAGCATCTTGTTGCTAATCTAGATAGTGAGTTCTGCACAGAAAGACATGAACTCTGGTTTACGTTCAAATTTTATCTGGAGTGAATTCCATTTTACAGAAAGGCTGTCTAAGTTGAGAAGTCACAGGGTGACAGGTTTTCAAAAATGTGTTCCTATAAAAAGAAGATAATTTATTTAAAGACTGGTATATAAATGCCCATCAGTAAGATATTTTTCCAGCTTAGGTGCCAAATAAAATGGAAGACAAAAAGTCATAGCTGGTTGCACATATTTTTCATAGAGATTTTGGATCAATTTGAATTAAATGTTGCGTATCTTAATTTAGTTCCAAATTATTTCCTCTCTTTTAAAAATGTGCCCAATCTGTAACTTAACTCCCTAAATACCTCCCAAACCAAGGTATTCCCCTGAGGAATCTATTAGTAATTCTATTCCTATTTCCCAGTAAATGTCAGAGAGAACAAATGGACCGTGCAGTGTGACCTGAAGGTCAAGAGATTTAGATTCTGACAGATTGCATCCAGAAGCAGATGGCATAGTTGATGACTGAGACGGTTGGGCCTCCAGTTCCATCCATCATAGGTGAACCTGGGCTGTTTGTTAGTTCAAGTTTTCTAGAGGGTTTCAGCTGTTTCAGTCTTGTAAAGAGTGAGCTGAATGTTACAGTGTGATGGAGACAAACCCATTTAAGAACCTATGAGACTCACGTAAAATGCGGCTGCAAGCCCAAACTCACTTGGAGTGGTTTTGGAGCGCTGTTCCTGTTCCCTGGCCAGGGAGATGTTGCCGTGTCCTGTACCAGTTGAAGCAATCAAGTCTTTTTAGACTTTATCTCCATAGCACGTACATTAGAAAGCTGTCAAATAAGGAGGCCAAGTAAAGATTCAAGATGAAGAAATATTTAGTATATTTTAATATACTATCTATAAATGCACTTTTGTTTGGTCCTTCACACTAAGTGATGTATATATATGAAAGAATATTAATCTCTAATTAAATATTTTATGTTGTCTCCATAGGTTTCCCCTGACCTACAGAATGAAGTGCTTATTAGCTTGTTAGAGACTGACCCGGATGTTGTGGACTATTTGTTGAGAAGGAAAGCTTCCCAGTCATCGTGAGTAATCTGTTTTTTCATCATCTGTGTTTCTACTGGGAATTTCTATCTCCCACTGGAAGTGTTCAAAAGGTTCTCGTTTTCCGCAGCTCTTACACACTCCATAGCGGAGTAGAAATATGCTCCCCATTACACTGACTCTGCCAAAGAAATTATGACTCTTGTACAGTGTTTTCTAAAGAAAAACTTTGTTTCCCGATTCAAAGAAAAGCTTGCATTCCACTGCAGAGAACACAGAATTACATGTACATAGAAACTATTCAGTGCACTATTATCTGACAGGATGTACTCTAGTGATCTGCTGGTTCATGTCTTCGGTTTGTTGCCATCCTGTGCCTTCAGTTACAGGAGGCTTGTAGTAGTGTCCTTGAAACACACCCCAGAGTGCCTTAACACAGTCACGGCTAGTTTGTTGTTCTCCTCCTATTCTACACACTTCTGACAAGGCAGGACATTGGAAACATGCGACTGCTGCAACAGAAGGGATGCAGAGAGTCTTTGGCCCTTGTTTAATCATGTGCTTTGTGAAAGATAAAAGGAGAAGGAAAATCACACCAGTCATTATTGCAGTTATGATACATAATATATTCTCACTTTGTGTACGGTGTGTGTATGCCTACACCCCTGTGCCTTAATGCTATGACTTTGTACATTTGGATTAACAGGATTCCTGGTTTTCTCACAGGACACAGAAGTCATATCTTTTATCCTAGCGAGACCCAATATACCAGACCCTAAAATCATAAAATTTGGCAAGGTGGCTTTAAATGATTTTAAAGCACTTTCTAAGACTCTAAACTCTCTGGTGCAGATTGGGTTTTGTCTTCCTGTGTGTGGAAAGTGTCCAGCATGTTCAGAACACAATTAAATTTGAATTTATGCCATCTATTATCTATATATTTTTTTCTCTTCCTCTGAACATGATACAGTTGGATGTAACATAATAGTGTGTCTAGCTTTACAGGAAAAGGTATGAAAGAAATAGTGTAATTACCTTGTGTGTGGGGAAAAGCCTTATTTAATTATGAAAGCTGAAAAAATTGCAGAATGTATTTTGTGTTGTAAAGGATTTTATTGGTCTATTGGCTTAACCACATGAGCGCGTAATGTGCAGTTGCAAATTATCGCATATCATCTGATCTGTGGTAATCGTGTGTATTTTCTTAGACAAAGTAGTTTCAGTTAGATTATCTCTGACAAAACTATCCATGTGTGCATATTTAGTTCACAGTAAATTCAGGATAATTAGGATTACTTTTTCCTATTTTCACACTTGTTTCACATTTGCCATGGGCTACAAACATGATTAGGAGCAAGACCGCAGATCATATGGTATATGGTAATAAATATGTAGAGGCTCTGTAGAGGCTTCTTTGTGTAAGCCCTTGGCTTGGCATGACCACGTTATTTAAGCTCAAACCAATCAAGAACTTCATGCTAGGTTTCACCATTGATATAATATGGAGACACATAAGTAATGGTCTCACATATGGATACATGTGCTAATTGAGCATAAATTTATGTCACAAGTCGCTGTGGATGTAAAGATTTTTATTAGATGATCCAGTTCAGAGTAGTCTCTTAAGTTAAATGACTCTTCCCTGAGCTTCCTGACTTTTCATCTACTGTGCATCCCTACTGGAGAAAATGGACCTTACAACTGAAACAACTGAAAAAAGTTTTTGTAAGAAGAGATTGCTAAACCAAATGGGAACCTATAGCTACTCTAGTACCCATTTATTGTTCTTTCAGTAATGGGCAGATTAAAATGTCACTGAGATAGGAAAAACTATCATTTTTTCTTCTTCTCTGTTATCATGTAACTTATTTATTCTTAATGTTAATGGAGTATGTTTTCCCTGTAATTGCAACTTCTTGATTAAGATGTGCTAGGCAATCATAGAGACTCTTGTTTAGTCTTATTGCTAAAAGTGTGATACTCTTAAGAGATAAATCCATTGCAGGATATACTCTCAATTTTCTTGTTTCATTCAACTTTTTTTTTTTTTTTTTTTTTGTGTGTGTGTGTGTGTGTTAGTTTTCCTGTAAGAAGTGGGAGGCAGCTGAGGACAAGGAGATATTTGCCAAACTTTCATAAAATGAGCCTTCAAACACATCTGTACTACTCATGGGATTTTGCTGATCATGTGCTCAAGATTAGATTCCAAATTTGGATTCCTGGAATAGAAAACTTTATATAGTCTTGAGACAATCTCTATCAGAAAAGAAGCTATTTGTAACATATCGTGCGGAAATAGCTTCAGGACTTTTTTCTCATTCTAATTTTTCTGAAAGTCCTGATTCCTCAGTTGCCTTCACAGCTCAGCTTCTGATGCCATTACAAATGCCCTCTTGGTTCCAATCTACTAAAAAATGCAATCGCTTTTCCTGCTCAAAGTAAAGCAAATCAGATGTACATTATCCTCCAGTTCTCTTGAGAGTTGAGCATCATGAATGATATGTCAGGGAATTAATGGAAGTCAGTCATGGTAAAGTACTAATTGCTATTGACAGCAGTTGTAAAGTCGGCTTTTGTGAATGATGTTCCCAACTTTCTCATATGTTGGCTTGATGACAATGGAAATTGGGGGTTCCAGCTGTAAGGTAAAGCATCTTTAAACCACCACAAAATAAATCTATTTCTTATGATTATTTGTTGTTTATCATAGTGAGTAGATTTACTCTTAGAGTAAATGTGTTTCAAAATCGGAGATTTTTCAAGTGCTTTTCGGTGGCGATGATGGGTTTTAATACATCCTAACCTGTGGCACAAAGATGAGGCCATATAGTAGGGCATATCATATGCGTGAACACAAAGTTTTCAAGCTGCAAAGGCTCCCTGAATCGCAGAGGCTTCTATCCTGCTTGGGTAACTGCCACATAATAATATAATAACTCTGTAATATTTTATTTTGCTGCTGGCACGTTTGTTGCAAATATACGTGGAAATTGAAATTGCTTCAGCATGCTGCCAAGCCGTTGCGTTCTGTGAGTTGCCTCTTGTACTGCAAAACTGTTTTCCCTCAGAGAAGCCCTAAGGTAAAGCAGGAATCAGCCAAAACCGAAAAGGATTTTCCCGTTTCAATGATGCCAGTAGAAACACAGGAATATCCTCAGTAGAAGTAATTATTAACATTTTTGCAGTTCACCCATGCTAGTAGACTGTGGTGGATAGCATAAATTCAGAAGGATGCCAGTTACAAAGATTCCTTCATTTGAGTCTAAGTATTAGTTTGGAGTTTGAAGTAGTATTTTTGAGCAAATGCAGCATAGACTATTTCAGTGATTTTCAAAGCTTGCAGTCTGAAGCCAGTTTTTATTCTTTATCCAGTTATGTAGCCAATTTTTTTATCCTTAACCTAGTTCATAACCCAGAGAAAATATTTTACCCTGCCTTCTCATTTCTCATGTTTAATAATACATAATCTTATGTTATACTTTGAGGAGGCCATGATCTGACTTTATTCATGAAATGTATTTTTTTTCTCCTATGCATAGATGGAGTATTCCACAGCTACCCAGGGGAAGGTTAATTTTGAATTTTAGGAAATAACCATTTGCTAATGAACTCAAAGTCTAAATCAAGCATATGTAGAAGTTTTGTTTTACGGAATATGTGGGAATTTATTCGTTATTTGGAAAAATGTGGGATGGTGTCTTTTGCAAATTATCTTTTATGTTTTTAATAATAAGTATCTTAGAGATGAAAATATGAGATCAATTTCTGGCTTCAAACTATTCTATTTGTTTGTACATATGGTAGTTTCTTATAGTAGTACTGGTCAACTCTACAAGCATTATTTCATTTAAAACTGTTTATTTCTCAAAAACTGCGGAAATAATGAAATATATAAATAATAGCATGGATTTGCTGGCGGACGCTATGAGAGGGGTTAGGAAGTTGAAAATTTGGGTCTTCTCAAAACTTGACAGTTTCCATTTAAGTAGATTTGTAACAGGAGCTCTGGCTTGAGAAGAGGTAGACTATAACAGATCATTCAAGGTAAGATGTTAATGCAGTATTTCCCAAAGCTCAAATTTGTGTTCCCACATTATTTCATTTGCATTTCCTTTTCCCCTCATTCCTTGTGTTACCTTGCTATGCCTAAATGGTGGCATAACTGCCTTTGCCCTGTGTGGCATAGTTAGGCTGTGACACTGCAGAGATCTCCATGTGGATGCGTTACTGGCTTTCCAGCTAGTGTCGAGCAGGTTCGTGTGCTAACAGGATGAGAAAACTGAAGAGAAGGAATCATAAAGTTTGTGGGAAATCTGCAGATATTAACAGTTCTCTCATTTCCTCTCAGGTCTTTTTGACTCTTCTATCTCTTCCCGAGACATTGCATCAAATGTTTCTCTTTTTAACTCACACACGCTGCACATTTTTTTTCAAAACTTAGGGGAGAAAGAGGATGGAGGGGCAAAAGGGAAAAACAAGGAAGGAGATTAATATGTGTTATACTTTTATATACTTCAAAGACAGTAACTGTTCAGTATGTGGCTATTTATAAATTATTTTACTTTGCAACCATCTTCAGGTGTGAACATCTTCATTCCTGTGCTTACATAGTCGAGGCATGGTTTACAGTTGTTTGTGGGGTTTTTTTTTTTAATAAGTCTCTAACATTACTGTACTAACCATACTGGAAGGCTTAGGTCAACTCTACTTAGCTGAAATAGCAGCTCTGGTTTTGTGAACCGGCACTCAATAGAGCTCAGGATCAGTTCTGGGATAGATTTCTTACTGGTAGTTAATTAGGAATAACCTTAATTAATTCAATCACCACATTTTATGGCTGCTTTTATACAGAAAAGCGGGAATACTGAAAAATGTAAATATTATTGTTTGGTACATATATTTGGGGACATAGCAAATGTAAATCTGCCAGGAAAAAATAAAAAAACAGCGTGAAAGTGGTGATAAGTTTTGCCATTATTCGTATTTTAGTCTTTAGTCTGTTATGGCTAGGCTGTCTTACCACCATATATTTTCTTTATTTTCCTTCTTCAGTTTTATTTCATTTGTCTGGAAAGAGGACTGTTGTTCCATCACACATTATGTGCTTTGGCTGCTCACTCAGGTCAAGTTCTCTTTGCTTTTTATTCTGAGGAAGGACGACTTTTTTTCTGATACACGTAACAAGAATGAGCCCCTGTTGTATCACCTGTAACTGTTTGACTCAGGAGAAGAAAAAGCCACCAATAAGCATCTAAGAAACCAAGATCAAGGTTCAGAGAAAAGAAAGATGAGTAATAAAAGACATGAATTAAGGAGGACCAATAAGAAAAAAAAAATACGCTTGTTTAGAGTGTTTTTACATGGTCACTTAGAGCTTCGGTGACTCCTCAGCATGCCTGCTATCTAAGTAGTAAACTGAGAAAGTTCAAGAGATAACCTTCCGTTTTCCCAACACACTTTAAAACTGAGAGTTTTCTCTGGGAGCCTGGGCAGTACTTTTTGGTGTGGTCAATTTTTGCCTTTTTTTTAGGTCAAAAAATCAGGCTGTAGTGTTAATGATGTAAAAAGTAAAATGGTAAAAATGTTGTCAATTGAGCCAGTCATATGTTTACCATCAGAAATCCTGATGGTGTATGGCTGTCCTCTGTAAAATACTTACCTTGTGATGTCTCTAGAAGAGCTTAAGATGAGCTAAGTTTCCGATTTCTTCCCACAGCGTAAGAAGAGCTAAGTTTCTGCTTTTTGTGATGTGTATTAGTTTAGAATGGGAAAGGGGTTTTACCATACCATTTATCATCTAACTAATGTTCTCTAACACATCCTCAGATTTATTGTTGCAACAAGCAAAATTGTCAAGGTAACATAAGGAATTGATTCACTGTTTGATTTCCTGTGGTGCACTGTGAAGTTGTGTGGATTTGTTTTGCTTTGTTTTCCCCCTTTCTTGATAGTCTCATCTTTTGATTTTTAGTGGCCTCTGCTGGCCACTAGACTTCATGGCATAAGTTTCACTCAGAAAATTCACGTGTATTGCTTCAAGTGTTTTCATTTCAACAGTTGCGATCATAGTTCTGTATTTACTTTCATTTGTATAATATCGGACTGCACCTGCAGCAGTAACCATAAAGCATCTTTCATTAAGAGTATCCTCTTTATCGAAATCTCGCAGGAGCCCGGAGATGCTGCGGTCGGAAGGCTCCTACTCCACGGGCGAAAGACATTCTTCCACAGACTCCAACAAAGCTTCAAGTGGAGACGTCTCCCCTTACGACAACAACTCCCCGGTACTGTCTGAGCGCTCACTGGTGGCGACACAAGAAGACGTTGCCCTCAGTCCAGACAAGCTGTACAAGGTACCTGAACAGTACACACTGGTTGGTCATTTGCAGCCAAAGAAAGAGAATTCTTCTGCATCGCAGGCTGGAAAAGGTAGTATATCCTACCTGTATGGATATAAATGTTCTCAGTGAATGATGTTTATGTCTAAAATAGTTGAAAAGTGTCTTCTCCCTAATATCAGCTATGGGGAATGTAGAAGCAGTAAAGTAAGAACCTCACAAGACAAGGTTCCTTTGGAGGAAGATTCCAGCTTCCTTTTTTCTCCTTCTTTCTTAGTTCTATGCTCAACTCTCCTTCCTAACTCCACCAGTGATCAAGGTGCTTTTGATGTGGCATTTCTCAGAAGCTGGAGCTATTTTGTAGGAAAACAAAACTCTACAAATCCTGCTCTTCAGCCCTTTTGAGGCATAGCAGAGGCTTATCACTATTTCTGCTCAGTAGGTTTTACATTTGAGAGGTTTTTGGGAAAATGTGAGACTTAGAGACTTAAAAGTTTCCAAATTTGAAAAGGATGATCTCAACTCCATCACTTTAGGTGACAGCTCCAGAGCTTTACACTCGTTACCAATTGCACACCTAGCAATACTAGTATTTCCATAGATACATAGGTAATGCACACCTGCATGTTATTGTCCATAAAAAACTATGGTTTAAGTTGACAGATTATCAGTACTTCAGGATGCTTTTCAGTAAAAGATGTCAAAATAATTGATAATTTGATTCATGCATATTGAGTCAAACTCTAAGACTTTTATTTCTTAAGGTGACTCCTCAGGTGACTCAGGTGACTCCTCCTCTATACCTTAAGGTATAGATAGCTTTTTTGGTGATACTTTTAAAACCATTTTGCCTTAGAGGTACTGGTTAGGGACTTAAATTCCTGTGGAATTGGTGGGCTTTAGACTATTATTTCAAATGCTTTATAAATGCCACTGGGCATTTGTTTGCTCTGAATATTTGAATAGTTTTCGAAATTTGATCAGGTTTCTAGAAAGTTATGAGCAGAAAATAATATAAAGCTTTAAGGGATTAACCATCTTTTGGTTAATATGCATGACTGTCATACCAGAGCATTAAAAATTAGGAAATCTCTTTACTGCCAGGTGGAATCAGCAGAAGACATGAAATACTTATAAGCCAGCACCAATGCCCAATGTGTGTATTACATTAAAACTCGAATAAGTAGCAATACATTCTTGTAAGAACCAAGTAACATTGTAGGCAGATAGAGCATGCCTTACAGTGACTGTTTTCAGTCACTCATACCTTCTCATTCATGTTTTTCTAAGTTTTCAACAGTGGAACAGTAGATTTATCTTCTTTGCTTGCTGGGCTGCCTGAGAGAACTTTGTCATTCTTTCTGTTAAAAAGCACACAAACTAACTTCTATTCATCATTCTCCTATTCTTGTTCAAATTTTGTCATTGGCTTCAGCAAGGCAGTAGACTTGAAAATGCTACACTTACTTATTTAGAGCAAATTCAGGTATCTTGTCCATGTAGAATTCACAGAATTCATTACAGACTCTAAGCCTTTAGCACTAATTAACATCAATACATTAGGTGTGTTTGTGCCAGATGCACAATAAGGTAGATGCTAGTATATGTTACTAACTCTGATACCTTACATAAAGCTTTATCTTATTTGAACTTGTTGTTCCATTTATATGTTTCTAAGTATGGCCTCCAAAGGGACTGATTAATCATCTTCTTCTGGGTCTTTTTGCTATACAGATGTTTCAGAGGATCATTTTGATATTTGGGGTACCTGGCATTCAACGCTGAAAAGTGGCTGCAAAGATCCAGCAATGACAGGTCAGATATTTAATAGAAGTTGTAAACCCAACTCCAGTAAAGATATAAACACATTTCTAGCTTTGAGAAATCCCACTGAAGCGAATGGGAGATTCACGTTGCCCAGTGTTAAACACGTGTGAACTGCACATAATATCTTGAACACCATTTGTTAATAGTGAATAAAGTTAGAGAGATTATAATATACAAACGCAACATTTCAAACTGTCACAAGATAATTTAAAAAGCCATTTTGAAATTACTTAAAATATTTGAAATAGTTCTGAAAGTCATTGTAAGGCAGAAGCTCTGGGATTTGAGAGCGCTGGCAATAATGACAAGGGGCGGTGGTAATGACAGGAGGGATAATGACATGGGATGACTGGGGCTCTGCCTCTGGCCAAGGCAGCCTTGACAAGTCCTCGGCCCTTTCTGCCTTTGCTCTTGTCCCATCTGCACCATGTCACAGAGGAGCTGGAGATCAAAATACATCCTCCTGCTCCAGAGCTTGGGAGATATTAAGTACCAAGGGGCTTTATGTAAGAGTTAAGTGCCAAAGTCGCCCAATAAGAGAGTAGACGTGGTTGAAAGCATAAATGTTAGGGACTCCTGAACATGGTGCCCCAGAGGATGCGGGACTGCTGCTCCAGGTCCAGTCATCACAGAACCAGGCAGATAAAGCCCTCGCTGTCTCCTGTGGCAAATTGCAGAGGACAGGCGGTAGCTTGGAAGATGCCACACAGATGCTCCTGAACATGGTGCCCCAGAGGATGCAGGACTGCTGCTCTAGGTCCGGTCATCACAGAACCGGGCAGATAAAGCCCTCGCAGTCTCCTGTGGCAAATAATTGCAAGAGACAGGCGGTAGCTTGGAAGATGCCACGCAGATAGTTTTGTGGTGGGCTGATATCCTCTTTCTTGCTCTGCCCCTCAGGTTCCTATGGAACATCTACGGAAAGCAGCTTGCTGCGGCCCGGGCAGTTCTCTCTTTCCCATGGGAACCTCTCCATGTTTGCTCCTCGGTGGCAGG